ACGCAGACAGTCTCGTCGAAAAATCCGACGTGAACTCGTTTTAAAAATTGTCTAACATTCCATGAGAAACGCTTCGCATCGAACACGTAACGTCGAGACGAAATCCTCGGATTGATTTCCGGGGCGAAGTCGATCCTCGGATAAATCGTGACCTTTTTCAAATCCCTCAGTTTCACACTCGACGTGAGACTGACCCCTGGGCGAAGCGACGCTTGACCCAGGGATTACCGAAACGCCGTTTCGATTTCGAGCCAACGATTTTTCCTTACTCACGGATTTCCAGCCTCGATCTTCGCCAAACGGGGCCATGCGTCACTTTGTTAGACGGCGCGGAAGAGAATTTAGACTCACTGTCAGATTCGATCTGCCAGGTCCTATTGTCTAAAACTCTCGAACCGATCTTTCGACAAAATGTTTTCGCAATTCAAAGTGAAATATTACAGATCGGATTTATTACATCGTTCATCTCTCGTCATACGGGAAATCAGTTAATAAAATAAACGTCCCAATTTCTGTTCAGTGAGCAGAAATTAAAACGCGACCAAAAAGAAAGTTAAAATGTTGTACGAATAACAAGAGAAAATTAACAATTTGCACTCGGCAAGAGAACTAATTGTAAACAATAATATTTAACAGATTTTGTTGTATTCAACAAAAATGAAAAAATTGGTAAAATTTTATTACTTTTTTATTATTAAAAAAATTTAATGTAATAAATATAAAAATTTTATTACGTTTTTTTGGGTANTGGTTTTCCCTCGAGACGGAGCTCGGTCGACGATCTCCGGATTCACGTCACTTACACGATTCGCGCTTCTACTAGTGTGTGCTCGTGGTTTTACACCTAAACTTTGCTGCTGCGCTATTAATCGCTAACCGGCTAAGCGGTTCAACGCCGATTCGCTGAAATAAATTTATACTAACGAATCGATTGATCTTTCATTGAGACTAGCTTTGCGTGATTTTCAGAGATATGCTTGTTCAACCCTTCGCACGGTTTGACAATTCCCAACGTGAACTGAAAATCGGCGTTGAATCGTGTCCCCGATGATAAAAAGACTCGTAAAATTGCACGTCTCTCGAATACACGCTTATATAATCTATCGTACGTACGTACCTCGGCTTCCGAAGACCGATCCCGGCCTATCCACGAGGGTTTCATACCCTCCGCGCAGGTAATCCGAACGCCCACCGTCGAATAAATAAGGAAGCGCCGACACCCGGGCGACCATCACCGTGGAATCGCGTCTTCGAAGGACGATCTCCGGTTGACAAAAAAAAACGCGCGCGCGCGGATAGAAATTGCCACTGCGCAGCGATACACGTTATACATAATTAATATAGCGTCCTATGTACAAGTCGTTTGAATCCCTAATTCAAGACTCCACGCACACGGGTCGTCTTTCGTTTAAGTTTGACTCTCTTGTTTGTACTTGGGGCCCGGGCTCGAACAACGCCCATCTGTGTTTTATCTTTTTTTTTCTTCGTTTACCGAAAACTTTACAATATTTACAGCGACCGCGAAACGAGACCGATGACGAAACAGGGGCTGAGAGGCGGGGGAGGACAGAGTAATTGGAAATTTCGTTTCGAGAACGTCTCGCGCCTCTATTTCGATCTTTCCCACTGGCTGGCCTCTCTCTGTTCGAACGGTCGACCGTTCGCGGTGAGAGAAAGAGAGGAGAGAGAGCTCGGGCGAATTTACGTTAGAACGAGAGTGGTGGGCTGCGTCCTGAGCTGGTGCTCACTCGCGATTCATGTGTACTCCGATCGCCAACCGGTCTGCAATCAATCAAACAAAACACCGATTGTGGTTTCGTGTCATAGTTCACCTGCCGTTCTTCCTTCGTTACGATCGAGACGCAACACGACCACTGAGACCAGTCATAACTTTTAACGATAGAAATCGTATAACGGAGAGGCGCTCACCATCGCGTTCGTCGTGGCTGCCAGTTGGAGACCTTGAAGACTCGTCATGTGATGCGAGTGGGAATGCGAATGCGAGTGAGGGTGGATCGGCGGCGGTGCCGGGGGTGCGAAGCCTTGGTGAAGGCCACCGGCAACCCCGACACCCGTGTGATACATGTAATGTTGCATCGCCGGGTGCATCGTGTGATGATGCTGCGACGTGCCTGCAATCATAAAATTAAACGTCTCTTTAACGAGATTCAAAAACGTATAATTTCACTCCAAGGCATAATTAATAATTTGCGGATCTCATGAAATACGTTCAGATTTTAACAGATAAGGTAAAGGAGGTAGTACTGGGAC